GCAGCATCAGCAGTACTTGGGAACTTGTTAGAAATGCAAATTCCTAGGCCTCACACTAGACCAACTAAATCAGAAACTCTTGAGGGTGGATCCAGCAATTGTGTGTGTGTGTGTGTGTGTGTGTGTGTTTTGAGATGGAGTCTTGCTCTGTCACCAGGCTGGAGTGCAGTGGCGTGATCTTGGCTCACTGCAACCTCTGCCTCCTGGGTTCAAGCGATTCTCCTGCCTCAGCCTCCCAAGTAGCTGGGATTACAGGTATGTGCCACCACTCCCAGCTAGTTTTTGTATTTTAGTAGAGACAGGGTTTCACCATGATGGCCAGGATGGTTTTGATGTCTTGACCTCATGATCAGCCCACCTCGGCCTCTCAAAAAGCTGGGATTACAGGCATGAGCCAACATGCCCAGCAAAAATCCGCTAAACTCTTTAAATGATATATGTTTGTAAACATAGTCTGACAATTTTGATACTGTGAGAAGCACAATAACAATGTGGTGGTCAAGGACACAGACACTGAAGCCAGATCATTCTGTGTAACCTTGGGCTGGGAACTTACTGTGTGTCCCAGTTTCCTCAGCTGTAAACAAAAACCACAATAATGTACCTACTTTATGAGATTGTTGTGAAGGTTGAATTTTTATATATCTCTCTATATATTTTTTTACTTAGACTAATTAATATGGGCATATACTAAGTGCTAGGGAAGAGTTTGCTAATATTATGTACTCTTTCAAAGTAAATTAGCCCTTTCCTGGTGTATCACTGCATTCCCTGTCATGCTATGCCATGTGTCATCATCCTGTCCCCAAGAAATGTCATGATTTATCACATCTGCTCTACAGTAAAAATTAATTTTAAAAAGGAGGCATCTTGGCCAACTTTCTTTAAGAAGGGCTTGTCTTGAGGAGCATTCATGGTTTCTGGAGATATGATTCAAATTTTTCTTCCCTCAAGTCACCTAAGGTAATCAGTGTTCTAGATAATTAAGTACCTGCCTCTAAATAGTAAGTTGAATTTCTCAGTCTTTGACGACCTTTGGGAAGTGATGCAAAAAGGATAAGCAACCCACCAAATTGCCTAGAAATAAATATTTTGATGAGAAGCTTTTCTGTTTCCACCTTTTAAACCAAGTACAAACAAATATCATATTAGTACTAACAGTCCTTGAGAAAATTAAAATGTGTTTTAAAATATTTACTGTGCATATCACATGGTTTTAAAGCTGTCAAAACATATAAGGTCACAGCATCTAATGTGTATAATTAAAATTTTATTGTTCTTAATATAAATATTAGAGTATCTTAAAATACAAAATGAAATTACTATCATCCAAATTGTAAATAAAGAAAGAAAGCAGTTGTTTCTATTCAAAAGAATTAATGTGTTGTTAATGTTGTGTAAAGTACTGTTATCAGGAAAATGCCTTAATTATTTAACTTCCTAATCCAGATGTTACAGATAATATCATAATATATTTTTCTTGATTTTGTTTCAGGATGAATCATGGCCTCTTATCATTGCCTCTGTTAGACAGTTCCAAATTTACAAAGAAGTTGAACTCCTAAATTGAAAAATAATCCACTGGAGCACCTCCCTTCCCCCTTCAATATTATGAAAGGCATTTAAACAAATCAAAGCACTTCATAGCCACATACATAATATACAGTGCTTAGGGCTTGCTTTGTCTGCTGTGAGCTCCATGTAATACCAAAAGCTATCTCCTAAACAACCCCCTAGAACTAAGACATCTAATGTCTTTGCTGCCCAGCATACAGGTACTCATTACCAGTAACATAACACCCTGGTTTTCCTTTAGGTAAACCATCCCCCTCTCTATTCTCACACTGTGTAATTTTAGTTGTGGGAAAACCCGCTTCCAGACATGGGTCATGATGGCCTTAAGATGGATCAATGTACCTATGACTCACCCAAAACTCCCGATGGTCATGGTGATTGTTTCAGAGAGAGGCACATTTAACCAATTAGAACCATTGAGACTCAGAAGACCTTTGCTGAGCTCTGTGAGAAAGAAAAGGTTTTCCTTCCATCTGTGTGAGCAAACCAGGAAAAAAAATCTCTCTCTCTTGAGGATGGGACCCCTCTTTCCTTAGAATGAGAGGTAGGTAGGAAAATGTGAGGTCTGGAAGCATGGCAGCCATGTTGCTAAGAAAAGTAGACTGGAGATGCAGGGGGTGGGAGAGTTTTGAAGAGGTTTGATACATAGCACTGTGTGGACCCTTAAGTAGAAGACCTGCCAGCCTAAAGAGATAGAGAGACCTGAGCCCAGGTAACATGGTGTGAGCTTATGGATCAAGCTTCCCCTGAACCAGTCATAAGTCTGAAGTTTTTAGTTACTGAGTCACCACATTTAATGTTTAAATGAGTCAGAGTTGATTTTTCCATTACTTACAACACACAGGGTCCTAATGAATACAGCCCATGTAGTTTAGACTAGATAGGAGCCTTTGGGTCTCAGAATTGTGTTCCCAGGAGCACCATGGTGCTACCTCTACCATGACTGGGCGTGTGATGGAAATGGACTAAGGGCAGGTGTCAGCCAATAAGACAGACAGGTGATGGCCGGGTGTGGTGGTTCATTCCTGTAATCCCAGTACTTCGGAAGGCCGAGGTGGGTGGATCACTTGAGGTCAAGAGTTTGAGACCAGCCTGGCCAATATGGTGAAACTCCTTCTATACTAAAAATACCAAAAGTATCTGGGCATGGTGGCACATGCCTGTAATCCCAGCTACTTGGGAGACTGAGGTGGGAGAAACGCTTAAACCCAGAAGGCAGAGGTTGCAGTGAGCCGAGATTGGGCTACTACACTCCAACCTGGAGACTCTGTCTCAAAAA